CCTCCTGCGCCCTCCTCCTGGCCGGGCGCACCCTCCCCTTGGCTCCTTTATATACGGGGGCAGGGGGGCACCTCTAGACACATAAGTTGATCATTGAGATCGTTCCTTAGCCGTGTGCGGTGCCCCCTGCCACCATATTCCACCTCGATCATATTGTAGTGGTGCTTAGGCGAAGCCCTGCGACGGTAGTACATCAAGATCGTCACCACGCCGTCGTGCTGACGGAACTCCTCCCCGACGCTTTGCTGGATCGGAGCCCGGGGATCGTCATCGAGTTGTACGTGTGCTAAGAACTCGGAGGTGCCGGAGTAACGGTGCTTGGATCGGTCGGATCGGGAAGACGTACGACTACTTCCTCTATATTGTGTCAACGCTTCCGCAGTCGGTCTGTGTGGGTACGTAGACAACACTCTCCCCTCTCGTTGCTGTGCATCACCATGATCTTGCGTGTGCGTAGGAATTTTTTTGAAATTACTACGTTCCCCAACAGTGAGGACTAAGTGTCCCAAGCTGTGTGTTCAGGACTGGGTGTCCGGGACTGTGTGTCCTCAGGTTTGAATACCGAGCCACCCTACCAGACGTACAACTGTCACAACAGTTGGAACTAGCCTACAAAATCATTGTTTTCACCAAGCCTACCGGTTCTATTTCCTCAACCCTTCCATTTACTCATTACCGTGTTGTGAGCTTGTTCATATCTGTCTGAAGACTTTGATTGAAGACTTTCTCAATTTTCTCAATTCAATTTCTTCAGTCTGTTTGTCTTCATCCTGTTTTATGCTGTGTTTACGCTTTCTGTACTTTGTGATTGTTTTCATTTCATCATGAAGACCATGCTTATGTTCTGTTATGTTTACATCTGAGTACTTATTCCGCTGCAAGTAGTTCTTCTCTTAGGAATTTTCCTCTTCCTGAAATTCCTCAGTGAAGAATTCATAAAAATCGCCTATTCACCCCCCTAGTTGACTTAACGCACTTTCACAAGCGCAGCAAACGGCGGCCGCTGCCTCCCGACGGAGCAAGCGGCGCCGACGACGCACAGCTCGAGCACAAGCGGCGGCGTGCTTGACCCCGCCCTCCCAGCAGAGGAAGCAGCGGCGGCGGCACCCTTGACCCCGACCTTCCAAGGGAGCAAGCACCAGCGGCGCCGCGCAGCTCGACACAAGCAGCGACGGCGGCGCGCAAGCTGCAGCAAGCAGCGACCTCGCCGGTGAGCGCGCGGTGGCTGATGGTACCAAGCGCATGGCGATCCAAGCCAGCAGTGCTGCCATGTGCATGAACCAGCCACCGCCTTGTCCTCTGGTGCTCGTCC